TTTTTCTGTTGCAATGCTGAATGGAATTATTTCCCTAATTTCTCTTTATGATCATTCTTGTTACTGTATATGAATGCCAGGGATTTCTGTATATTAATTCTGTATCCTGCAACCTTACTAAATTCATTGATTAGCTCTAGTAATTTTCCAGTGGCATCTTTAGGGCTTTGCATGTATACTATCATGTCATCTGCAAACAATGAGAGTTTAGAGTTTTGGTTATTTTTTTCTTATCTGGATTCCTCTTGTTTCTTTTCCTTCTCTGATTGTTATGGCTAGGACTTCCAAAACTATACTGAATAATAATGGCAAGATTGGGCAACTTGGTTACTCCTGATCTGAGAGGAAATGCTTCCAACTTTTCACCATTGAGAATAATGTTTACTGTGGCTTGCAATATATGGCCTTTATTATGTTTAGGTATGTTCCTTTTATGCCCATTTTCTGGAGAGTTTTTATCATAAATGGGTACTAAATTTTGTCAAAAGCTTTCTCTGCATCGAAATTATCATATGGTCTGTATCTTTCAATTTGTTTATATGGTATATCACATTGATTGATTTGGGTATATTGAAGAATCCTTGCATCCCCGTGATAAACTCCACTTGATCATGGTGTATGATTCTTTTAATGTGCTGTTGGATTCTGTTTACTAGTATTTTATTTCAGGATTTTTGGTCTTTAACTTTTTCTCTTTTCAAATCAGTTGACAGGCCAAGGAATATCACTAGGTATTCAAGAACTGAATGTTGATACATTTTGTTCCATACAGTAATATATATTACCAAAAAAAAGTGTTCCATAGTCAAATCTCTTTGGAAAATTCTGGGCTAAACAAAGTCTATCAGGTTTCTTTCCTGAAACTGTCCAAGAACAAAAATTTAGTTTGTGGTATTGCCTAAGCTTATTTTAGCACAAAGTCTTTCTTCCCCTTTTACTGAAGTTTCCTTTGGAACAAATTTGTTTCCTTTGGAAACAAATGTTTTATTTTGTTCCTTCAAACCCAGCTGGAGTTAAATAATTAGTGGTTACAATGAATCTAAGACTTATACTTCCATGAAACAGTTCGCAACCTGGGTAGGTGTGTCAATTTACTCTTTTCTGGAGTTCTCAGCTGAAAGATGATGAAGCGTGGAAGAATTGGTGCTTTTGAACTGTGGTGTTGGAGAAGACTCTTGAGAGTCCCTTGGACTGCAAGGAGATCCAACAAGTCCATCCTAAAGGAGATCAGTCGTGGGTGTTCTTTGGAAGGACTAATGTTGAAGCTGAAACTCTAGTACTTTGGCCACCTCATGCAAAGAGCTGACTCATTTGAAAAGACCCTGATGCTGGGAAAGATTGAGGGCAGGAGGAGAAGGGGGCGACAGAGGATGAGATAGTTGGATGGTATCACCGACTCAATGGACATGGGTTTAGGTGAACTCCAGGAGTTGGTGATGGACAGGGAGGCCTGGCATGCTGCGGTTCATGGGGTCGCAAAGAGTCAGACACGACTGAGCGACTGAACTGAACAGCTGAAAGATACTATCCATCAGTAACTCTTGAGTTATAGTTCTGTGTGCTTCTCACATCTTTAGAGTTTTGCATACTCCAGTTTTCTGAATCTTCCAGTAAAGGTATAGCTTAATTTTCTAGGCTCTCAGGTGTTTACAGAGCTCCCAAAGTAGTGAATTGCTCTACTTTATTACATCCATCCACTTACCAGTTACTTCATCCTAGCACTGATATTACTTCAGCATCACAGAATTTCCTTTCTTCCTGTCTCCCTTCTTGGATTATTTCTTCCACTTTACCTACTCAGATTCAATGCTTTCACAGCAAATCATAGTATAAAAAGAAAAAGAAATCAATACTTTAAAGTCAAGGTGGATTTCTTCATCACAATGAATTCTGGTCCTGAGGAGACACTCTCACAGTGCAAAGGTGAGGTCATTCTGCGTTCAAATCCTGAAAACTATTAGCTGGTAAACTTTATGAAAATTTCTTATCCTTATTGAACATCAATGTTCTCATATGTGAAATAGATGTAATAATAACTAAGTATAGCTTTGTGGTATAGGACATACTGAAAAAAATAACAAGTATATAATAATTGTTAATTGCTCTCATCTGTTTCCTTGGGGCATAAGTATTTGTAGAATTCAAACTACTTCAACCTCATTCACCTCCTCCACCAAAAGAGAAGTTTAAACCAAATGATGTCAAAAGCCCTCAGATTTTTAGCACTCTGTAATTGTGAGCTTAAGGAATGTCCCTTTCACCTCCTCTGATCACATCCAGCCACATGCTTTGCACATGGGAGCTGCAGAAAGGTAAACACAGCATCTTGGAGGTCATCAGAGCCATTTCCTGAGTGCTCTTCCTTGGTGTCTCATGCTGAATTGTAGCCTTCCATGGGCTTCTTTAAAAATTCCCCTTATAAATAGTCCCAGAAATAGTTCACTTGAATTTCTCCTTATTTCTCCTGGGTCACAAATGCTTCCCTGAAGCCCAGGGGTTTCCAGAGGTTGTATTAAGAATTTACATATTTGAGTAATGAATTTTGATCACTAGTTTCTGTGAATACTGGTCAAAAATATTTGCATCACTAGCCTTATAGATAATGAATAGATCTTCCATTTCTAACCAAGGGAGTTTCAATAGTCTTCTTCAGTGGGATAAGCCTATACCATTCTCTTTTAAGAATGAAAGTTTTATGTGTAAATCACTGAAATAAAACTGACTTCATTAGAGTTGTTGATGTGTATTTTCTTTTCTTTTGAAGCTCTTCCAATGGAATGGATAAATATAAATCTAACAGTGCTTTTATTGCTACACTTTTCTCTAAAATCATTGCCCAAAATGACAACTCTTTAGTGTAAAGTAACTGCAATGTTCTCTAATAACCCATATGATAGCTATTGTCTGTTCAATGCTGCCTTGAAAATTACATGGAAAATTAAGCCAATCCAACTAGCAAAGATATATTAATATAACCATTATATGTCTGACAAACTCACTCAAGCTAAAAATAATTAGCATTAAATCAATAAATTCAGGCTATTTACATAATTGTCCCAATCTTTTAGAAGTCTGCTTTGCCACCCCCTGTTCACTTTTTTTTCCACTAACATATTATAGCTAATTGGTTTTTAATTAACTTGCAAGTAAGCAATGCTTCTAAAAAAGATTGGAAACTACTCATTATTAATGATATCTAACATTTTTACACACCTTCCATGTTTATATTGACTTGCACCATCTCATTAGGATCTTTTGATAACCATTCCTGATTTATAAATCAAAGAAGGCAGTGTTCAAAGATACTGGACCATTTGTTCAATATCTCCCAGCTAATAAAAGATAGGACTGATATAAAAAGCCTGGGTCATCTGATTCAAATGTCTATTTTAGACACCGTCTCTCAATTAAAATGAAATGCATAGTATAAAGGTCCTTACTTCATGGAGTCCAGCTCCTCAAAATTGAGTTAATTTTACAGGGTATTAATGCAATTAGGTGAGCATGAGAAATCTTGAGGCCTCTTGCTCTCTAACCTCCACACTACCAAACGCACTAATTCAATATCCTCAGCTATCTTTTTGACCTCTTGTGTTTCTGTGCAAAGCATGGCTCTTCCTTCATATGGCCAGAGACACAGAGTATGAGGGGAAAATCTTTGCAACAGGTACCTTTTTCATACATTTTTCTTTATGATTTTTGACATGCTTGCAGATTTCTAAGATGAGAGCAATCTCCCTACTGCAACAGTCTTTCTAATCAAAGTCTCTCCTTGTCTGTGTCTTATAAAGATTGTGACAACACTGGCACTTTTAGGAGTGCAATGTGTCAGGGAAAAAGAGGGAAGCTATTTGGAAAGCTAACTCTCCCACAGAATGACTTTTAGGTCTCCATGGTGTACACAGGACAATGGCTCAACCAGAGACGAGCACAGGCCTTTGCATGTGCTGTTTGAATGGCCTACGACACAGTGCAATTTCAGCTATGTTTAAAGTTTAGAGTGTGGCACAAATTCAAGGTTCCTCTCTATTTTTTTTTTTTTAGTCACTGATATGTGACAAATGATGAAATTTTCAGCATGAAGTTTGCTATTGAGGTTCCCATCTTTCTTTATGATTTCTTATCAGGCCTTGCTATCCTCCAAGCCATAAATAAAAATGCAACTTTCATCTGCATTCAAACTGAGGTGGAAATATAAAAATTAAACATTTTCATTTTTTTTCTGAGTATCAGTCACTCTCTGTGAGCTGGAAAACAGCAAGACAGACTTTCTGCTGCCTCTTTTCCAGAATGACTTCTTGGAAAGGCCCTAAGAAAAGACTGACTTGTTATTAACATATCTACAACACATATAATTTATAACTCTACCTACATATTCAGCATTGAAATGGAGTTCCCATGAGGCCTAAAAAAAAAAAAAGGACAAAGAGGTTTCCTAACTTCAGTAGCTAAGCAGCTACAAGCCAACAGCTAAAATAAAATACACCTGCATACTCTCAACATATTACTAACTTGCTAATTTCCATTAGAATCTGGAGGGTCCAATCGTTGAAAAATAAAGGTTCAGTAAGAACAAAGTTATAGAAATATCTGTTTAGGTTGCTAGGGCCCAGATGCCCGTGCTGAGCTGGTCCTCGCGGAGCTGGGGCTGAGGGTGGCCTGAACTTCCAGAAGTCACAGGCTCCTGAGTTCAGAGCTGCGGATATGGATGTACAGGGTGCGCCCCCGGTGCCCAAGCACCCCTGCAAAGGAGTCCAGGCCTGGGAGCAGGGGACACCGAGGATTGCGACTGACATCAGCGAGCCAAGATGCTCAGGTGTGACTGACACTTGTGACTTCACCCTTTGAAGCCTCAATTTTCTCATCTGTAGAATGGACATAATGGAAGCTACCTCACAGGACTGTTGAGAGGATGAAATGAGACAATGCTTGTAAATCTCTTTGCAGGAGGGAGCCCTGGAGGCAGGACCTGGCAGGCAGTGCACTCAGTACCAGGCGGCATGAAGACCCCAGCGGAGCTGGCCATCAGGGGGATGCAGACCCTCCATGTTCAGCACCGCTGCTGGGACGGCTACCAGATCAAGGTTCGACCATCATTTGTGGAGGAGACTTTGTTTGGCAGCCCTGCAGGCACCTGGCCCACACCACCAGACTTTGACCCAGCCTGGAGGAAGGCCAACAGAACCAGAGGAGTGGGGACAGGGGCGTCACAGGCATCGGGGACCAACGGGAGCTGTGAGTCCACCTCCTCCAGTGGCAGCACCCCAACCCTCACACCAAGGAAGAACAAATACAGATTGACCAGCCAGACCCCTTCTTCCTGTGGTGAGTCTCTGGCTCCTGACGTGAGAGCGCCGGCTGTGAGGCCAAGTGAATGGTGAGGGGAGACGCTGCAAAGCTCCATGCCCTCCCTCTTCCAGACAACCCCAGCTATCCCTAGGGGCAGCCATTCACCCCACCCCAGGGAGGCTCCAGCACGAGCTGTTCACCCAGCTGGTCCCTCAAAGACAGCGCAGGGCGGTGGCCAGCTCCTGGAGGCTGTCTGTGAATTGGTTAGACACTCCGTGCCCTCCGAGGCAGGAGCATTCCCACTCCCTCACCCACCTTAACGTCCCTGGCACAGGTCACCACCCGCCAGTAGCCCCTGCACAGATGGGCCTCGAGATCCCAGGCCCGCCCCTTCAGGGGTCACCTTCCAGAGACCCCTGGTGACTGCCAGTGCCAGCTACGCCCCCCACCCCCACAAGGCGGAGCCACCCAGAAAGCAAAGCCCCCTTGGAAGTGAGTTTCTTGGTCCTTTCTGTATATTTGCCCCTGTGGTCACAACCAGGGGCAGAATTTCAGAGGTTGGGGCTGGTAGGCAGGCTCTGAGGAGACCCAGGCATTGATGGAGCACTGCTGAGGACAGAGAATGAGGGTGGGCACTTTCCACACTGATATGGATTGGAGGGTCAACCCCTGACATCACTATCTCCAGTCCCGTCATAGCCACATGGTGTATCAGTGCCAACCCAGAGGGGGTCCCCAGGAGGGTCCCCGCACTTCCTCCCTCAACACTGTCTCGCCGCCAAGTGTGAATAAATGGTATAATCGCCAACCCAGAGGGTTTCTCCTCCCTCCCTTCAAGCCAAGCTCCTGCTCAGGATAAGTTTCCAGCTGAGTCTGAAGGCCTCAGGAATTTTCCCAGGCACCATGTGTGGACCAGCGGGGAACACAAGGATCTGGGTGATATGTGGATGGATGTTTAAAAATTGTAATAGTCATGTATTTATTTTCATGTATTAAGTATATCAGTAGCTCATTGAAACAAACAAAAAAGAAATATCTATTTAATACATCATAGCTGATCCAAAGGAAAAACAGACCAAAGTAAGACATGCTTTTAAATATTAATTAAAACCCAATCAATTTCCATTTAAGAAAACATTTCTTGCCTGGTCTAGACCTCACTACCACATTGTGTGTGTGTATATATATATAAATAAATGTATATATATATATATATATATATACACACACACACACACATATATACATTTATTTATATAGCGTGTGCTTATGTATGTGGATAAAGTTGTTAGATTTTCTTCTTTGGAATTGAATTTAGTAAAAGTAATCATATCCTGCTGGGTAGTTAAATGAATCAACCTGTCTAAACTTTTTTTTTTAAAAAAACAAGAACTATACCTACATTCCAGTATCTTGAAACTGTAGTAAAAATACATACCAAAAAATTAAATTAATCCCCGATGTACTCTAAAGGTTGCTGTTAATAACACTCATCTGAACTGAAAGCTTCAAGGATTGCACATCTGTCAAAGAAAAGAGACAGACTTTGAGGAGGGGAGGCAAGGACTTCCAGCTTCAGCAGATACAAAGTACAGATGGGAAATAGATTGTTAGCAAAATAAATCATTTCCCACCCTCCTTCAATTTTTCACAGTCTGTGTGGCAAAGATTTCACTACTGACACTGTCAACATATTCTTAGCGTCTGTAGTCGTTTACTGTGACCTAGTGGGTAAAGCAGCCTTCTCCAAATAACCAAACACCAGATTCTGCATAATGCCAGATTCTGCAAAATGCCTTCTGCTCTCCCAAGTGTACAATGGAACTAGAAAAACAAAATTGGTCCAAATGCTGCATTGATTTAACAAGGTGGTGATACAGAGAGCAAACGTTTATGAAGTCGCTTCTTATTTTCAAACTTCTGGCTCAATGTACACCAAAACAAATTCAAAACTGCTCCTCCAGGAAGACATCTCACAAATGCTATTCCTCCCTGGAGTCCCCCATGTGCACACAAACACACCCACACACATCCTTTGCCTTCTCTCTGCACCCACCTTCCTTTACAAACAAAGCATTCTCATCAATTTGTTATTGTTGTTTTCCTATTCAAAGCAGAGATGAGGAAATAAGTCCATTCTCTAGGAGAAAAAAATAGAGTCAACGGACAAACACTTGAGAGCAGCCTGAAACCTCGGAGAGGCTTAGCTTATTTAAAAAAAAACAACAACAACAAGGGTCTCTGTTTTGAACGCAGCCTATTTATGAGTGGACCATTCTGAGTAATGTGACAGAACGTGATAGAGTGCCACAAGTATCATGCCTGGAAGTTAGTGTCTCTAGACTCAATTGAAAAATGGCCTTTATGAATGTGTTCTTTGAGGAATGTTGTGCAGACCAGAAATAATCCCTACAGAATGAGGCAAAATCAAAATCAGATACAAAGAAATAACCCAACACCAGGGCCTAAAGGGAAGGTCACTTTACTCTCATGATCATAAGAAGCCCTCTGACAAAAAGGTCACCTGACATCACTCAACTGCCGATTTGGAGGACCTGTTAGAGACCATTTGGTAGCTCCTCTTGTTTGTTAATGCTGAGGAACCTCAGAGTTAAGCTTCTTCAGGAATAAGTAGGAAATATGTGGCCACACCACCCCAGGAAGCAAGTTTCCGGTCTCAAACGTTCTGTCCTTTACTGTGCTGTGCCTCACAATCGCAGGGCAGCTTGACGGGCTAGCTGTAATGTGAGCTTCCTAAGGATGGGGCTAGTGAAAATTGCAAACTCCAGGATAGAACTAACACTGTGGTTTGCACAAAACAATCACGCGACCTAATTATACTGAGAAGGATAATGATCCCAGGCAAAATGATTTCCTGAGGAAGTCAACGATCCAAAGACATTTGAATGGCGTATACTTCTGTCCGAAAATGAAATCAACAGACTACAGGCCGTGAAAATGGATCTTTCCTTCAGCTACTCCCCTTTACTTTCCTCACCCTTCCTTGATTAAGAAGACCTCTTAGGGCATCAACATGTGAGGAAAGGAGATGGAAATGCTACTCACCCAAGTGTCCTGCACAAGGTAACCTTGTGAGAAGAAGGAATTTGAGAATAACTAAAATTGGAGAATACTCCACTTACCATTAACTCAGCTGATCTGAGCAAAAGCATGTTTCATGAATAGTCCGGTCCCTGAGAAGGGACTGGATATACATTACCGTCACTATTAACTGAACTAGTCACACACTAGAGAGCCTTAGAAAAACAAAGACATGCCCCCTCTGCTATGCTGCACCAAGTGGCCACATGTTGTCCCACCGCAGACAAGCTGTCACTTCCAGTGCATAAGCTGTCACAGGATGGGAAGTTATCTGAGTGCCTGACAGTCAGACAGCCTGTTTGGGGGAAAGGGCACGGGATCAAAGCCCTTGCCTAGAGGTCAAATATTTTTCTGTTGAATAACAATCCTCACTGAACTGTCAGTTTTCTGAATATATTTTCTTTAGTTCAAGTTTTCTCCGTAAGTGGTGAGCCATTTCTGGAACTAAAAAGGAGATTCAGTTTCCTAAGAAGATTCTTCTTCCATCAACAATGTTTTCTTTTTCAGTGAAGAGTTGTAGATGATATTCTTGAAGGAAAGTTAAAAAAAGCCTGCCTGGTAACCAAGTCCCAAAATGGAATTAAGAATGCCAAAATTTGGTTGGACAGAGAAAGAAAAATATCATATCACTTATATATGTAATCTAAAAAAGAAATGATACAAATGAATTTGTTTATGAAACAGAAATAAACTCACAGACGTAGAAAACAAATTTATGGTTACCAGAGGGGAATGGAGGGACTGGGATAAATTAGGAATTTGGGATTAACAGATATACACTACTATATTTTAAATAAATAAAAAACAGGGACCTATTGTATAGCACAGGAACTAAATTCAGTATCATGTAATAACTGATAATAGAAAAGAATCTTAAATATTTTGTAATAATATATAACAGAAAAGAATATATGTGTGTGTTGGTGCTCATTTAATGTGCCTTATTTGCATTTCTAGATCAAAGTTCAGAAAAACAACACTTTATTTTAGCCATAGAAAGATACATACTTTATGAATCACCAAAAAAGTGGGTGAAATAAGATCTACCAAATGAAATTATTCTTTTTTTATATCAACACTACTTTTAGTTTATTTTTTCAATAGAGTAAGCTAAAACTGGAGAAATAAAAATTAAAGCTTGGAAAATTTACAGAAGTATTTGATTCAAACAAACAAAAAAGTTAAATTACAGAGACTTCACTTTGTTTATTTCTTGTCCCTGAAGAAGGCACTTTCACTCTCATTAATCTGTATTTAAGAGGAAAAGGGAATATTTATCAAGATTTTAATAATACTATTGTTTACATAAATTAGAATGGGATTGGCTTGGCAATTCAGGGTTCATAGCAAAGACCCATTCCCATTATAAAAGTCAATAATATTACAGAAAATATCATTATAAACCAAGTCCACATCATTTCTCAATTTTATATATATTAATGTAATATCCCAAATAGGATCTGAACACTTTTTTTCTCAGCCTTTGCTGTGATAGGATTATAGCATTTTGTTTGGTGTAACAATTTTTTTAATATCTAGTAGGTTCAAATCATTGTGCTAAGTACTGGGGATGAGTTTAAGTGGGTTATCCCTCCCAGTGTTTGATGGCGATCAAAGAATCTGCCTGTATAGGGCAACGACAGACAAAAGGCAGGGCAGGAAGAAGACAGGGGAGCAAGGGGAAGAAGTGCACTGAATATAGTATTTCCCAGCAGCAATAAGCTGTCTGGGCTGCTTTCACTTTCTGTATAACACGTCTATCAATAAAGAAGGCTGATCCAGTTTGAGAGCTGCAGAACGACCAGGTGGGGTAGCCATGCTGCTAGGATAAGGCTTAGGGGCCTCTGTCCAACCCCTGGCCTACGACCCTGTCTCCAGGACAGATTTAGCATGGAGGAGAGGGGTGATTTTATTGTTCTTCCTTATGGGCCTTAAATGAACAAAAATGAATTAATTACAATCTTTGCATGGCTGTCCTTTCTGAATTTAT